CTTCAACCCAGAGTCAAGGGTAGTTTAGTACCGTCCAGGCCTTATTCTCTCTGATCCGCGATCATTCAGTTGCATCACCTTGGCCGCTGTTCAAAAAGAAACGCCAAAGCTATCTCTTTGACAGAGGGAATGTGATCTTTACTATCAAACGATTCTCGAGAAAGCCATGGTTTGGGCAATGATCGCTCACGAAGCCAAGTTCATACGTGGGTTTCCTCGAATGGGACACTGTTGTTGACATGAAGGTGAGCCTGGAAAGTGTGCTCAAGAAGAGAAGCGTGTCTCTGTAAACAGAATGCGATTTTGAATCCACCCTCTCGCGCTTCAACATGATTCTGCACTAGTCCACAGATCGAAGTGACACAGCGGTGGTGCAAAGCAACCCAGCAGGCGTCATCAGCGGTCGAGAATGGCCATCCTACGGGTCCCATTTGAAATTAATGAAGTGGTACGTACGGTGCTACTTGAGGAGCGATTCCTGCTCTAAGAAATGTCACTGAATTCAGGCACTGAAAGAAAGAGATTTCTTCAGAGTACCGTCGCGTTGCAGTGGGCGACATTACTCCAGGTATAAGGCCCGTATTCTCAAGCGACGACACTTCGAGGTATGGACCTAGGTTTTTAAGGGCGTTCCATTATTATTTCTTTCTTGAAAAACAATGCCTCGATCGGTTGTTCTACCGTTTTCACAGCGGTAAAATTTGAGCGAGTAATTTTGGCGCACACTGTAGATTGATACGCATGGCTTTTCACGAAGTTCTGCTCATCTTTGAATGGGGCAAAATTGAAAATTCAGCCAGTAGAAGATAGATCACCTCCCCATGAAACTGAGTAGTAACCTTCACCTTCGTAGCTTGACTTTCGTAAGTCTTTAATGCTGTTTACGAGTTCACAGTTTCAAGAGTGTGAAGGTTAAACCTTCATCGGCAGGCCACGACGCGGCGACATGCACACTTGTCCCGCTTCGCACCGGAATTTACCCGACACTTATGGCGTTCGTTCAGCACGGCACACGCCTGAGTGTTCGCAGGCGTAGGAATGTCACTCAATATAAAGTTAGACCATACCGTGTCCCGCATTGCATTCAATGCGTGAATATGTTGTCGTCGTACCTCGTCCTGTCGCTCTTCGAATAATCTCAACGAATGACATTGATATGCTTAAAGCAGAACGAAAAGATTGATAGGGGTATTTTTCAGATGGCGAACTTGTAAAACGGGTCCACAAATCTGTCATTCTATCCAGTATGATGGTAGTATTCGGCTTTTTTCTCACTATGGTCGTCATATTTATTGGTACTGCTTTGAAAGCTGATGCCACCATATTGAAACAAGTGTCATCATCATTCATAACCATCGCAACGGCTGTGAACTTTTTTGTCTATTACACAACCAGGTAAGCCAGAACCTGGTAGGGAATTCGTGCTACGGCATCGCTCATGTGTTTGAGGGTGTTGTTTCAAAACAGTTCCACTGCTTTCAGTTCTCAGTATCGCCACATATTCGACGAGCTTCTCGGCATTGGTCGTCTCAAAAGAATTATTGGGTGCTCAGGGAGCGAAGTGGTTTTTGAGAGCTCCAACCGTCGTGTACATGTCCTTCGCCTAAAGACTCTTAACGATTCTGCAAATCGTTAATGACTTTCAGTCTTTACATTATCCTTGTCGAAAATTCAGTATTGTTTGTCGACTTTTCTCACTCTTCTCTACCAATCCAGATTTAAAACACACGGTCAATGGGCACATGGTGGCAACAGCAACCATACACCAGCATTGAAGGATGAGAGAATTAATGTAATTGGCTTTGAGCACGGCTAATGCAAATGGCTATGCGGCACCAATATGTCACTGATTATGGAATGGTGGCCAGCAGCAAGTACCGTGCCGAAAAAAGTTTTCATCGTGCTTCCCATTCATCTCTGACAATGTTCGCGCAGCAGTATGTCGCAGAGTTGTGAGAGCACTGCAACAAAGTGCTATTGAATCCGTATATATCTCCAATAGTAATACCGAACGTCAACTTTTTTTTCGAAAAAGACTGTATGATCGGCAGAGTACGGCACGAGACTGTAGTATTTGCCCTTTTTTCAAGACTGGGTACTGCGAAAGAGTGGGAGTGAAATATCAACTTGAACGTCGGATTTGTTAAAGCATACATCGGAGAAGCCTCAGCTTTTTATCAATGGCCACCTAGGTAGACTATTGGCAAACATGAACTTGAGAAGCATAAGAGATATGACGTTGGTGTATAGTGTTTTATTTTGACATGCGAGAAGGATCCGTCTAATGGAGCCGTTAAAATTATTCTGGATTTTCGCAAGAAAACCGCGAATAAACAATTGAAATGGGTTTAGGTTGATTACACGCATTCAGAGTCAACCCTGCGTTGCGCAGTTCGCAACGGCACGTTGAGAGATCCTCAACGCACGCTGTATGGGCGGAGACGCAGACGGCTCGAGCATGCGAGTGTGAATGTTCGCGCGAGAGAACGTGTCTAATCGGGCGAAACTGCGCAACGTGGCCGTTGAGAACTGCGCAACGCAGGGTTGACTCTGAATACGTGTAATCAACCTAAACCCATTTCAATTGTTTATTCGCGGTTTTCTTGCGAAAATCCAGAATAATTTCAACG